TCCCATCCCATCCCATCCCATCCCATCCCATCCCATCCCATCCCATCCCATCCCTTACATTCTGCCTGAAGTAGCGCAGCCTCTCCTGGTACTTCCTCCGTGTCTGCCACATCCTCACGGCTGCCTGGATCTGGGAGAGATGTTCAAACATTTGGATTCTGGATCATGAGAACTTCCAGGGGAGGTTTAGGTTGGATATTAAGGATAATTTCTTCACAGAAGGGGTGGTCAGGCATTGGCACAGGCTGCCCAGCAATGTGGTGGGTTCACCATCCTGGGAGGGATTTAACACCCACAGGGATGTGGCACTTGGGGACACGGTTAGTGGTGGCCTTGGCAGTGCTGAGATGGACTCAGTGATCTTCAAGGGCTTTTCCAGCCTCAGTGAGCCCATGGTAACAATCCTATTGTATGATTTTTTCTCCCCTGTGCACTCACACACTGCCCTGGCCCAGCTACCACAATCCCCCCTGGCTCCTCTGCGCTGGGCAGGGGTAGATGCCACCCTCACGAGCTGAACGAGCAGGTGACAACGCCCAACATGGGAACAAAGGCTGAAGAAAGAATCCTCCAAACCTTGACTGCAGCCTCTGTGTTGGATTTCAGGTAGTGCAGCCTGTCCAGGTAAGCTCTGCGCTGCCTGTACCCCCTCCAGCAAGCCTGGGCACAAGAAAACACCTGAGTGAGGTCACTGTGACTCCAATGGTTTTTCAGGGAGCATATGAAGAAAGAGAATAACACAGCATGGAGGAAGAGGAAAGCAGCACCCAAAGCAGCCACTGTGAGAGGAACAAGCCCCTCACTGCTCCCTGCAGCACCTCAGGGGTCCTGGCAGTAAAACCAAGAGCAGCAAGCACTGGCCCCTCTCTACACCAGGTAGAGACACTTGGGTGAAGTCACTGTGACTCCACTGGTTTTCCAGGGAGCACATGAAGAAAGAGAATAGCACAGCATGGGGAAAGGAAAGCAGCACCCAAAGCAGCCACTGTGAAAGGAACAAGCCCCTCACTGCTCCCTGCAGCACCTCAGGGGTCCTGGCAGTAAAACCAGAGAGCAGCAAGAGCTGGTCCCTCCCAGGGCTGCGAGGTGCTGCGAGCAGCTGCCCCTGGTTTGTGTGGCT